AACTCTTCCAAAAAATTGAGAAGGAAGGGACAATACCAAACACGTTCTATGAAGCTAACATTACACTAATACCAAAACCAAACAAGGACAACACAAAAAAGGAAAACTACAGGCCAATCTCCTTAATGAACACTGATGCAAAAATCCTCAATAAAATTTTAGCTATCAGAATCCAACAATGTATCCATAAGATAATTCACCACGATCAAGTAGGATTCATTCCAGAGACACAAGGATGATTCAACATCCGAAAATCAATCAATGTTATCCAACACATCAACAAAAAGAAATATAAAAACCATATGATAATATCAATAAATGCTGAGAAAGCTTTTGACACAGTGCAACACCCATTCATGATAAAAGCCCTTGAAATTTTTGGGATACAAGGAACATACCTCAACATCATAAAGGCCATCGATGACAAGCCAACAGCCAGTATCATTCTCAATGGTGAAAAGCTGAAAGCAATTCCATTAAGATCTGGAACAAGACAAGGATATCCACTCTCACCACTGCTTTTCAATATAATACTGAATTCCTAGCCAGAGCAATAAGGCAAGAGAAAGACATACAAGGAATCCAAATAGGAAAAGAAGAAGTCAAAATATCACTATTTGCAGATGATATGATAATATACATAGAGAACCCCAAAATCTCCACAGAAAAACTAATTCAACTCATCAGTCAGTTCAGTAAAGTGGCAGGATACAAAATCAACACGCAAAAGTCAGTAGCCTTCCTATACACAAACAATAAATCTGAAGAAGAAGAAATAAAAAAAACCATCCCTTTTATTATTGAAACAAAAAAATCAAATATTTGGGAATAAATCAAACAAAAGAGGTAAAGGACCTATACAAAGAAAACTATAAAACACTGTTAAAAGAAATAGAAGAAGACACAAAGAAATGGAAAGACATCCCCTGCTCATGGATTGGAAGAATAAACATTATTAAAATGGCCATCCTACCAAAAGCAATATACAGATTCAATGCTATTCCAATCAAAATTTCAATGTCATTCTTCAAAGAAATAAAACAATTATTGATGAAATTCATATGGAATCACAAAAAAACCCAAATAGCCAAAGCTCTCCTGAAAAAAAAAAAGAAGGGAATGGAGGCATCACACTCCCAGACTTCAAATTATACTACAAAGCCATAATCATCAAAACTGCATGGTATTGGAACAAGAACAGATATACAGACCAATGGAATCGAATAGAAAATCCAGAAATAAATCCACAGATTTATGGTCAACTAATCTTTGACAAAGGAGCAAAGACTATGCGTTGGAGCAAAGAAAGTTTGTTCAATAAATGGTGCTGGGAAAACTGGGTCGCTACATGCAAAAGAATGAAGCTTGACCACTACCTCACACCATACACAAAAATCAACTCAAAATGGATTAAAGAACTAGACATAAGACCTGAAACCATAAAATACATAGAAGGAAATATAGGCGAAACACTACGTGATATGCACATGAAAGATATCTTTACAGACACATCACCCAAAGCAGTGATAGTGAAGGCAAAGATCAACAGCTGGGACTACATCAAATTAAAGAGCTTCTGCACAGCAAAAGAGACAATAACAAAAACAAAGAGAAACCCCACCAACTGGGAGAACATTTTTGCACACAACACTAATGATAAAGGACTGATCACAAAAATTTGCAAAGAGCTGATGAGACTCAACAACAACAAAGAAAATAATCCAGTCAAAAAATGGGCAGAAGAGCTAAAAAGAAACTTCTCTGAAGAGGAAATGCAAATGGCCAACAGGCACATGAAAAAATGTTCAACATCACTTGTAATCAGGGAAATGCAAATCAAAACCACCATGAGATACCATCTCACACCAGTGAGAATGGCACATATTAAAAAAACTAGCAACAACAAATGTTGGCGAGGGTGTGGAGAAAAAGGAACTCTCCTGCACTGCTGGTGGGAGTGCAAACTGGTCCAACCACTATGGAGAGCTGTGTGGAGATTTCTGGACCTACTAAACATAGAGCTTCCATAGGATCCAGCAATTCCACTCCTAGGTATTTACCCAAAGGACACAGAAACATCTATTCCAAAGAGCACCTGCACCCCTATGTTTATAGCAGCACTGTTTACAATAGCTAAGCTTTGGAAACAACCCAAATGCCCAAAAATAGATGACTGGATCAAGAAGATGTGGTACATATATACCATGGAATATTACTCAGCATTCAAAAAAGATAAACACATGCAATTTGCAGCAGCATGGATGGCGCTGGAAGGGATCATGCTCAGCAAAATAAGCCAGAAAGAAAAAGAAAAATACCGGATGGTCTCACTCATAGCAGGAATCTAGAAAACTTAAATAAGGGACCAGGAAAAAGAACAACTATAAGAAAGTGAAAATCAAAATCAACAAAAAACTATGAACCAGAGACACTCTATGTGGGGTAGAGGGCGGGAGGGGAGGGATTGGGGTCAAAATAAGGGGGTTGCAATTGTATGGGGAATATAAAAATAAAATTTATTATAAAAAAAAACTGGCATGAATGAAATAAAAAACAAAAATAGTACAAAGACTAAGCAAATCTAAAAGCTATTTATTTGAGAAGCCCCATAAAATCATACAACCCATCATAAATCTTAAGGAAGAAGAAGGAGAAAAAATATTAAAGATGTAGATTTTGATCATTTATAGTGGGATAAATTTCAATAAAGTACTTCAAGGGGTCACATCTTAGAGCAAAACATATCAAATAAATATATGTGACAAGATCTCAAAGTAAAACTATGGATCCTGGAACATGAACGATACCGGCCTGACATTCGGTTAGAGAACTTGATTTCAGTGCAAAGGTTCTTTCAAGGACCAAAGCAATTGACAAACACAGCTCAGAGGTCTCCAGGTGACAGGCCTGTCTTGCTAGGCACCTTTTCAATAATGATAATATGTAATATTTTTTGTGCTTTCACTATAACAATTCTGAGGCCGGAATGGTCCCAGGTCACTCAGTTGGAAAATGGAAGTGAGGATTTGGGTTTTGTTTGTTTGTATTTTTCTTTATTTGTTGAAGTTCCATTGCTTTGCACTGTTGTTAGCATTTTGGAAGTACAAGCGCTCCCCCTTCAGGTGGATTCACCATCGGGCACCCACGTCCCAAGCCCATTGTCAGGAGCCAGGATTTGAACCAAAGCTGTCAATGCTCCAAAATATATTCACACACAGGAAAAGAAAGGAGCAACAGTTACTATTGTTGACATTTTCTTTCTTCCCCAATTTATGCTTTTGGGGGTGGTAGGTTTACATCCTTGTACCTGTTTACAACCTGCATGACAGGTTCTCACCTCTGCAAAAGTGTATCTTCACACCCTGCCCACCAGCAGTGCCCTGCAGTGCTCCCCTCTTCCTGGGCCCAGGCCCTCCCCGCTCCCGCCCTGCCACCTGCTTTTGAAATGTCTTCCTCTTTCTCCACTTTTACAAATCTAATAGCGACATATATTGTTTTAATTGACAGTTAAAATATTGACATTGCTTACATATTTACAGATAACTGAATAAATGCAGCAGATAAAGGAAAAGAACACCAGGCGTATTCGATCCCTAGCAATTTGAGCAAAAAGAAAAACGAAGTTAAAGATCTTAAAGATCTTCACAATAATAAATACACAATAAAAGAGGTCCAGAGGAGTCCAAACACTACAAGAAAGGGAAAGTCTTTATCAACATAAATGAAGTGAAGTCTTTGTCGATATAAATGTTTCATTTATCAATATAAATGAAAGATGGCTCATTCGGTAAGTCAAGAATCAAAGCTCAGGGCCTCCCTCGTGGCATAAGGGGTTAAGCATAGCACTATGAAGCTATTCACAGCCTCTGCACACAAGTTGGATCCCTGATCCCCGGCGGGCATGGGAGCAACCCACATGGCGCAGCAGCCCTCTCCTGCCTCGCCCGCTGCTCCCCTCAGCAGTGTGTTTCGGCCAGTCTGCCTGTCTGATCCCCACTCTGTCTCTGGTGAACCCTCTCACACCGCGCCCCCACCACCCCCGTACCTCTCCCTGTATCCAGTTCTTGAACGCATCAATAAATAAATCTTTTTTAAAAGAAGAATCAAAACTCAAATCCCAAGAATCCATTAAAATTGAACCCAAACATTCAAGGCTACTGGAAGATGTTATGGAAACCATATGTGAATCAGTGTTCTCACCATGGAAAGTAGGTCTCACCATCCATAGTTCTCAGCATGGATGGGTTTGGCGGGTGGTTAGACCTTCCTAAAAACCCTTCCTTTGAAGGCCTTTTCCCTTCATCACTGTCCCCACATTCACTAGGGTGACATGCTCAACCTTTCATCACCTCCCCACACTCGGCTCCTGTTTTTGGATGATTTCACCATCTGACCTGCAATCCCGTCAGATGAAAAGGCCCCACGTCACATGCCAGTCACCGGCTCCATTTCAGAAAACATCTCGTCAGCACCGCCCCATCCTGGAAAAGCTGGCGTCCATCATTTTATTCTGATCACAGACACCCCAACTCTCTGCCATTTTCTCATTTCCACTTAACTCAGCTAACCTCTTTGCAACCTCTGCTTCCTCTTGGCACTTGGTCAAACCTCAGTCATTCTTTGGAGGCGACTCTAATATCGATCACATGGACCCACACAATTTGCTCATTCCTCCTCCCTCCACTGAATATTCTCATAAAAATCCCTGAGGGAGCAGTTCCCAACTCAATTTCTGGCTCCTACGCAGCCGAAGAAAACCGCCGCCCACGAAGGGGCACTTACCCCCAGGACAGCGATCACTGCATCCACCATCACTTGCCAAGCCTGGCACAGCTCAGTACCAGCCTAGCATACCTCTCACGCACCCTGCAACCCCAGCTACACTGCTAGAGACGCTGGAACACTTTAGCTCACAGAAGACTGTCAGGAGGATGAGGTAGAAATCTTTCGAAAGAGGAAATGATAAGAAATATCCTAGAAGTACTTTCATTTTAAGCTTTCTACCTGGCCAGGGCTTGGATAAAGCAACCAATACAGACCTGAGATAATGGCTTCCTGTTGAGACAGTTTATGCCCCCAATGAAGAACATGTTGGGCATGATGGGTCTGGGGTAATCCATCACAAAGTCTCCTCTGAACAGCCAGATGGATCCATAGCCAAAAATTTCCCTCAGCGACACCTCTCTCTGCAGAAGGTCAGAGGCAAGGCTTGCAAAAGGAGAAAAACAAACATGGCATACATAGTTCATGGCCAGAGGGAAGAGCATGTTCTTGACCCTCTCCAAGAAAGTCATGTGGTCTGTAAGTGCTGTTAGAGTCCTGGGAATGTATGAAGAAGGAATAGGGCTCTGCGTACCCTCAGAGTCTAACTCAAAAGGAATGGAACGCAAGAAAAACACAGCAGGAATGGACAGGTACTTAGCCAGCAGCGCCCCACAGGGCCAAAGGGGATCCGTTAAAACCACATCAAAGGAGCTGGAATTAAGGTACCTGATCAGGTCCTTGTTAAACACCAGGTCCCTACAAGTCTTCAGATAGATCAAAGACGATTGCTTTGTCTTTTCCACGCCTTTCAAAAATTTCATTGGAAGAGGCTGTCTTTCAAATGTCGCATGGAAGTACTTCTGGAAAAATCTGTCGAATTCATCCTGAGTGTAGGAAACCTCATAGTGCTTCATCGTGAAGAACTCTTCCCCCTTGAGATGCATGCTGACATCTGGCACGAGGACCACGGCTTGGTGGCCTCTGGCGTGCAGTGCCTGCACAGCCTGACGCATGCTGAGCCAGGAGCTGCCATCCAAGGGGACCACCAACACCTTCCCGCCCTGGGCCCCAGAGCTGACGCACAGGAGGAGCCACAGCCCCAAGAGCACGGGCCAGGGAGCGTGGAGTCCTGCAGACATCTCGGCAGAGCTACAGCCAGATGATTTCAGGATCGCTGTGCTCCCGATACTTAAAACTTTGTCTTTGTGTCGCCACCAAAGCACTTCCCATAATGGCTTGTCATTGGAAGTCAGCAAACCCTCCTTGTGTTAATCATTACAAACTCTATCTATCGCTCTCTTTCCCCACTGGTCCCCCTGTGTTTCACCCACTCCCCAAGGGAGAAGCCAAACTACCCTATCTCAGAGAAATCATTTGACTCGGCAGCTCTCTCCAGAGAACGTTCTAGGTTGTTCCAGGTCATTCTCTAACAAAGTCCTTTAAACTCTGTCCAAATAAAATACTTTCTGGAACACCGGGAATTAGGACTTGAACATGCCTTTTGTGAGCGGCTCACAAAGCAACCCATAACTGGGGACCAGCTGCACAGTCCCTGATGGGCGAGCACAGCCAGGCCTGTGTACCTGAATTGTCCATCTTACAAAGAAGGACTAATTTAGAGGGCTCTCCCTGGACCCAGAGAATGCTCTCTGGAAGTTCTTTGTGCCAGGTGAGGACCTGAATCCAAGCTGCAGCAGCACTGGGAACAGCAGTGAGAGCAGTCTGGGGAATTGCCCACCAAGGGGCGCTTACAGCAAGGACCCACACCCAAAGTCTGGGCCCAGACAAGGCAGGAGCAGGCCGGCAGAGGACATCCCACACCGCCCAGGAGAGCTTGGTGTGGACTGGGGAATTCTGAGTAGACAGAGCACGAGAAACAGTTCTCAGCTATGGGCTTCAGTCCCAGAACTATTTCCCCAAACCCTAGGCTTAGTAAGTCTCCGTCTGTTGATTGTGAGAAGAGCTAAGCCTACAAAGAGGTGAGCGTGTTCTTACATTATATTTAGACCCTGGTTTCATGTGACTTGAACTTGCATATATTAGACTCAGAGCCTATACAGAGATCTGGGGCCCCTATAATATGCTTGTTTCTTGACATTGTGGTGGTCCTGAGGACATGCAAGACCATGGGGAGGAAGGAGCAAACATTTTTGGTGTCTACGAAACTCCTGGAGGCATGCAGAGCGGTGGACTTCATGGGTCTGAACCAGAGACAGGTCTGTATTGCACAGAGAATTTAGAGCAATCCCATATAATGGTGGTTGAAGCCATGACTATGAGTGAAGTCACCTTGGAGAATTCCAGAATGAGGCAACTCTCCTTCCTGACCCCTAAGGGATGGTGTACCCCACTGTCAGTCAAGTTGACATAAACATACTAGCTAAACAATCAAATTCCTTGAAGAAAATAGAGGTGCATGTCTTTACATCTCTAAGTAGACAAAGAATTCTTAGGAGGCTAAAGTACAGACCATTAAAAAAAGCAATTAATCAGACTTCATTGATATTGATATGAAAATATTTGTGAAAAATAGGAAAATGTAAAGCACACATCAGGAGAAAATGTCAATGAAACATCTGTCTTATAAAGAACTTCTTGCAGATTATATAGATATCTTATAATCAAAAATGGAAATACCATATAACCCAACTATCCCACTTTTGGGAATTTAACCAAATTTCAAACCATCAACAAAGCAACAACAGAAAAAAAAAAAAACAAACCCATATGCTCCACACTTTTGCAACTTGCAGAACCCCTGGGGAGAAATCTAAAACAGCAAAAAGGGCATATAAAAAGTCACTACAAATGATTTTTGTATCAACAAAACTTCAGAATTTAAGGGAATAAGATGCCACCGGAAAAGAATAATTCTCCAGAACCCAATCACAACGAATTGTTAAAGGGACGCTCTTATCAAAATCAAGCAAAGAAAATCATCCAAAAAGATAAACAAAGAATTTGATTGAACCAAAAAACAACAGACAAAATGGCTATAACAAGTCTTCCCATACCTATAATCACTTTCAATGTAACTAGACTGAATGCATTAATCAAAAGACACAAAGTGGTCACTTGAATTAGAAAACAAGACCCAACTATGTACTAACGCCGGGAGACTCACCTGAGTTTCAAACACTCAAAGAGAAAGCTTGAAAAGCAACACTACGAGCAAATAGGAACTCTCTCCACCCACCTCTTCTCTCCAAAAAGGCAGAGACAGCCATACTGTCTTCCAGCTAAAAATAGACTTCCAGATTTAAAAAAAAAAAGGGAACGAGAAAAACATATGGAAACTAGGTAATGATTAGGCATTAAATACATCTAGAAGACATAACAATCATCAATATATGCACCAAATGAAGGAGCATCAAACATATAAGGCAAATATTGTTAAATCTGAAATCAGACATTAGCAACAACACAGTAGTAGCAGGAGATTTCACACCCAATTTCACCAATGAACGGGTCAGCCAGACAGAACATCAACAAGGAAACAATAGCCTTAAACAAGGAATTAGAACACATGGGCTTAATAGACATTTAGACAACACTGCACCCAGAAAAGCTGAGTACACATTCTTCTGAAGTGCATGCAGAACATTCTCCAGGATAGACCATATGGTGGGCCATAAAACAAATTTTAATAAGATCACAAAACCACGAAATCATGAAACTGAAACCGTGTCAAGTACAATCTCTGATCACCATCACATCAAAGCAAAAATCAATCACAAAAAGAAAGAAGGAAAACAACACACGCCTGAATGACCACTAGACAAACAAGGAAATCAAATGAGAAATTTAAAAAGACCTAGAGACCAATGAAAGTGAAGACACAACCTTTCAGAACCTATGGAACACAGTAAAGGCAGTATTACGTGGGAAATATATAGCATTACAGGCTCATATCAAGAAACAAGAAAGAACTCAATAAATGACGTTACCTCCCACGTTTAGGGTGGAGAAAAAGGAGACCAGGCAAAAGCAAAAGCCAGTAGAAGAAAGGACATAATAAAATTTAGAGTAGAAATAAATGAAATAGGAACCAAAATACAGTCTAAAGGATCCATGAAACACCAAAAACTAGTTTTTTGGAAAAATCAATAAGACACACCTTTAGCTCAACTCATTAAGAAAAAAGTGGGGGGAATCTAATAAGTAGAATCAGAAATGAAAGGCAAGTTCCAACAGACATTTCAGAAATATAGAGGTCAGAAGAGGTCACTACAAGCATCTATGTGGCAGCAAATTGAATAACCTAGATGAAATGGACAAATTCTTAGAAATCTATAACCCTCTGAGACTGAACCACGAACAAACAAGAAATCTAGACAGAGCAATCATAAGCAGGTAATTGTAACAGCAACCAAAATTCACCCAAAAAGGGCCTCCCCTGGTGGCGCAGGCGGTTGAGCACCATGCTGTGGAGCTGTCTGCAGCCTCTACAGTGCTGGTTTGATCCCATCCCACCGGCGGGGGTCCTCCGTGGCACAACAAACCTCTCCTGTCTCACCCACTGCTCCCCTCAGCAGTGTATTTCATCAGTCTGCCTGTTCTGTTCCCCTCTCTGCCTCTGGTGAATCTTCTCACCCTCCCGCACATCTGGCCTGTACCCCAGTTCTTGTATAAATAAATAAATAAATCTTTAAAAAAAAACGTCACCCAAAAAAACGACAGCCAGGCCAAGACAGTTTCACTAGTGAGTTCTACCAAACCTTCAAAGATGAGCTAACATTAGCCTTCTCAAACTCTTTCCAAAGACACAAAGAGGGAATTCTTCTAACACAGACTATAGCCAGCATCACTCTGATACAAAAACCCAACAAAGACCTCAAACACAGAAAAGAAAATGGCAGACCATTAACCCTGATGAACATAGATGCAAAATTCCTCAACAAAATACTAGCTCTCAACAATACATCAAAAGGATCACACCTGATTACAAGAGGAATTTATTTCAGGGACACAGTCATGGTTCAAAGGCAAAAAGCAATCAATGTCATTTGCTACATCAACAATAGATAAGGTAAAAATCATATAACCATATCATTAGATGCAGAGAAAGCATTTGATAAGATATAACATGCATATGGTATTAAAAAATGGGGATAGGGCCTCCCCGGTGGCGCAGCGGTTGAACGCTGGACTTGGAAGCTGTCCACAGCCTCTGCAGCACTGGTTCGATCCCTGGCCACCGGGCGAGGGTCCCACATGGAGCGCAGACCTCTCCTTCCGCCCGCTGCTCCCCTCAGCAGTGTACTTCGGTCTGTCTGCCTGTTCTGCTCCCCACTCTGATTCTGGTGAATTCTCTCGCCCTCCCGCGCTTCTGACTGTACCCAGTGCTTGTATAAATAAATAAATAAATCTTTAAAAAAATAAATAAAAAATAGAAATAGGGATACATGGAACATACTTCAACATAATAAAGTCTATGTATAAAAAGCCCACATTATACTCCATAGTGAAAGACTGAAAGCATTTCCCGGAAGATCTGGTACAAGACAGCATGGCCACTTTCACTGCTACTATTCAACATAGTATTGCAAGTCCGAGCTAGAGCAATTAGTCAAGAGAAAGATATACAAGAAATCCAAATAGGAAAAGAAGTAAAATCATCACTATATTTGCAGAGGACATGATAATATACACAGAAAAGCCTAAAGCTCCACTAAATAAAAATAATAAACCTAACTGAAACAATAAATCAATACAGTAAAGTGGCAGAGTACAAAATCACTTTAGAAATAGGAGAGCAGGAGCAACATGGCGGTGAGGAGACGCTGCAAGTAAGATCTCCCATTAAAAAAAGTTAATAGGGAGGAAAAGCGGCAGGTCCCAGTGAGAACTGGGACACGGAAGATAAACGGACGACTCCAGCAAACTACCAGAAGAAGAAAGTGGCCATAAAAGAGAACCAGAAGGGAGGAAAGCGCAGAACCCTGCTCCCCTCCCCCACCCACAAAGTCGGCACTCTCCGACCAGCAGAGAGGAGGAAAAAAACAAACTAAAACGACCAACAAGAACAAACTATGCATCAAGCAGGACTGTGAGTGGAAAGGAACTATTACAGCCACTACACCCTGTAAACGGGAGCTGTGGAGAACCCTGCAGGATTTGCTGCAGCGGTGAGCCAACG